CGATACGTTTTGACTCGTTACTGCGACCGAAGTCGGTTCCTTTGAAAATTGTTTGTGATTTTTTTCATTTGCGTTTGCGACTAACCTTTTTGCTAAAGAGATTGCCGCGTAAAATTCCGATTCTTTGTCTAAACGTGCCGCGTTTTCATTTTGAACGAGATATTCTAGCCGAGTTTAAATTTTGTCGAAATCTGAGAAATCCTCCTCGATACTTTTCAAACGGGCTTCGATTTGAAAAATGTCATCGAATTGCGAACTCAAAAATGCCGAGAATCGAGATAACCTTTCGCAAATTACGTGTCGAGTATGTTTCAATTCCAAAATTTCATCATCGCGAACGTGTGTTTTTTCCGATTTTCCTTTCGAGGGCATTTTGGTTGAAAATGAGTTGAATGACGTGATTGTTTCGAGATTTTTCTTTTTGTTTCGATTCGAGAAGCGTTAAATCAACAAGGTTTTTTGTTTCGTGTTGTTTTTCGAGAAATTTGCTTTTTCCGTGAACGATTTTTCGATGCGATTGGAGAACGTAAACTTTTTGATGCGTGATTAAAACATGCAGATTTCTAACTACGTTTGCGTAGGATAGCAACTGGTACAACTACGTGGAGGAAAAAATAGGAAGCATAGAACGAGCTCACCGTGTTTTTTCGATTCGTTTCGTGTTTCTCGAGTTCCAAAGGCTGTTTTCTTTCCTTCCGATCCTATGTCTGTTTGAATTGGCTGCGAATCTTCATAGAATCCGGCTCGAAGGACCAAATGTTGGGCTTGCTGACGAAGGACCACCCTGTTTCCAGGGACGAGATTGACGACAATTTGAGTGGATTGTAACTACTGTTTTATTTTTAAGAAACACTTAGAAACGAAGAAAACTTAATAACAAATTCTGTGACGGCTCGCTTTGCTCTTCCCGACTTCTCGCCCTCGCTCCGTCTCGCTTCTTTCTTCCGACCGTCTCTGTCGACGTCTTGCAAAGCTCTTTTTGGCTCTCGTCGTGCCGCCCCCCGCAGTCGCGCTAGGTTCGCACTGTTAGCCTTGTTGCCGAGTCTTTCACAAAGTCCAACAGTTACATATGCGACATGGTTTCGTTGGACGTTGTTTTTTTTCGGTAGGCGGTAAACTCTCTAAATAATGGATACTTTGCAATTTACTCTTTTTCGTAACGTGTTGAATTTCTTGTCCAAATAATGCGAGCACGAATTCCTCTCTGAACTTTATCAGTTTTATGTTAGAAGATGTAACTTTTTTAAAAATTTTGTGAGCATTGTGGATGTAAATCTCTATAATGTGCAATGCAACCTTTTTGGGCCATCTAATAGTCTTTCTTAGAGATGAATAATACGAAAGCATTTGATCTGATCGGCCAATGCCAGACATTCCATTGTTGTAATCTCGAATTATATTCGGTTTCATAGAAATTTTTCCATTGCGATTGGGCACTTCTATCATTTCAACAACATGCATGTTTGAAATGCAAAGGACATTTCGCTTGTCTTTCCATTTGCAAACAGTAACAGGACCATTTCGCTGCCAAATACACTCCCCTTTTTTCAATTTACGATTTACCAAATCTCTAGGGTTCCCTTTTCTGTTATTTCGTAGGGTTCCACACACATACGTTTTTCGTGTATTTAGCAGTTTTGTAAGTGTAACAGAATTATAAAAATTATCCATGAAAGCCGTGTATCCTTTATCGAGATAGTCCTCACGTAAATGTAAAACAACATCAGTAGTGTGGCCTACGTTATTGTCAGTTTTCTCAGATTTTCCACTATAAATTTTTATTTTCATAACGAGACCATCGGACTCACAAAGTTCATACAGTTTGATCCCATATTTGTGTTTCTTATTTTTTATGTATTGGCGGAAAATCAATCTTCCCCGCCATAGCATCATAGACACATCAATACAAATATTTTTATCTGGTACATAGTTTTACCGCATAATATTGTTGAAATGATTTAGAATTGGTCTTACCTTGTATAATCTGTCGGTAGATGATATTGAGTTATCAACCAAATGAAAATAACGAAGTAACAACTGGAATCGATTTCGACTCATATGTAAGCGCCAAAAGTGTACATTATATAGCTCGTGTGTGCTCCAGTAATGTTCAATTGATGGAAAAGAGCAAGGTCCCATTTGTAGCACAAGTCCAATAAAAACTTTCATCTCAGCAGCACTAACGTTTTGCCAATTTGATAACCCGTTGGTTTTCTTTATTGTTGTGCGTTTTTCAATTTCTTGCGCAGCATATAAATTAGTTTGTTCCACCAGTTAGATTTAAGTAGTACTCAATTTCACTTTGAGTCAGTGGTCTTTTCCTATCCATATTGGGTTCTTAGCAATTCAATGATTATAAAAAGAATACACAAGAAAGATGTATGTAAGTAATGCACTCAACAATGTCTGAGATATAACTGACGCGGACGATGATGACGCAATGAATGATTCCGCATTAGCGAAGCGATAAGTCAGTACATGTGTGCCTACGAATAAACTCGTAATTGGCTTCCGAGAAGAGATTACTGTTTCCGACGCCAACTACGAGATAATTCGTACAACATTTTTTTTTTAGGAAAATACGTTTTTACTCTTTAATTTTATAACTATGCTCTAGATTTAGACTTTTTAATAATATAATGTAATAAAATCAAAATTTCATTTTTGGCCAGAAATCTGAAAATTACTGTGGCAGTCAACGTGTTAAGATGATGAGTTTAAATGGAAAAAAATATACCCCTAAATATATTGGTTTGGGACTGTTAGCCCATCAGGAGACCAAGTCAAAAAACTATACCTGGAAACTTTAAATTTTTGCCATATAATGTAAAATTGACGATCCTTAATGAGTTCCGTTCAAATAAATAAATTCAAATTCAATGAAAAATTTCACATGTACTGATAACCGAAGCAATATTACAAGAGGATACATGAGTTCTAAGCACCTGTTAATATAAAAAAGATATAGAGACATTCAATTTTCTGTCAAATAAGATATTTTAATTTAGACACAACATTTTAGGCGTAACGGGCCATTGTGTTCCTGTAAAAGAAAATTTATGAAATGTTCCTGTAAATGTGTAAAATCAATATGTAGCAATAAGCGAGACAAAAATGATTCCTGACCAACACGAAGGATTTTTTTTTAGATTTACTTTTTACTTAATTTTAGGTGTTATAGATATAATTTTAATTTTTATTCTAGCTTCTATGCACACTTTTGTATTATTGGTTTAATATGCAATGTTGCCAATAAAATTTATTACAAATAATTAGTAATGTCAAAAATAACAAAAGAGTATCATCCCTATCAAAAAATTCGACTATGAGGGCAAATACGTATCACATTCGCTACGAAAGAGGGTGTATACAAACAAAAACGATCTTAAGCGGCCGCCGAAACCGCAAGTCTTTTATTACCTGACCGTTTTTGCAAATCTGACCCTTTCTCCCTGCTTCGCTGGTGGCCGTGATGTTCGCGACAGGGCTTCATATTTTGCTAATTAAAAATAAACGATCCATCCAATTATAGTTTTTGGAAAAAGTAGCTGATTCGTTGATCTTCAATGCATATGATTTATAAAAAGCATTTTTTTGATAAACCAAATAGTTTTCAAGTTACAGCGAGGTAAACAATAACATAAAAATGAGTTTTTAGGGCAAGCGTGTATTCCTTAAAGACTCCTATATAAAAGCATTATGCGGTGTGTTTTTAAAACAATCAAAAAACAATCGATATAAATAATGACAAAAAAGCATAAAAATAACCTACTCCGTGGATCAACAACGCAACGCGAATACGCTACTCGGTGGCCGAACATAACATTATCTGTTGTTTAACTGAAAAATGTTACAGTATATATTGCTTATCTGCTGTGTATCAGACTTGTAGTTAATTGAATTTTTGTGAAGAAGTGAGGAGGTGGTTTTTAGTCGGTAGGAATTCGACATACCCCACAATACCAACTGTGGAAGTCATATATATATATATATATATATATATATATATATATATATATATATATATATATATATATATATATATATATATATATATATATATATATATATATATATATATATATATATATATATATATATATATATATATATATATATATATATATATATATATATATATATATATATATATATATATATATATATATATATATATATATATATATATATATATATATATATATATATATATATATATATATATATATATATATATATATATATATATATATATGACGACACTATATTCCGGGATATCATCCCCGTTCGCTCGTTGAACTCCTACTGGAATCCTGCATCAGACTGGAATCCGACTGAGTGTTCTAAGTGTTTTCGGAGCGCGAGCATTGAAGATGCCAAGTGAGATTTTGGCGAAACGTCTGCAGGATTCCAGTCGGATGCAGGATTCCAGTCGGAGTTCAACGAGCGAACGGATGATATCCCGGAATATAGTGTCATCACATTTTTCCATCCGTGAATCAATACATATATATATATATATATATATATATATATATATATATATATATATATATATATATATATATATATATATATATATATATATATATATATATATATATATATATATATATATATATATATATATATATGATGACACTATATTCCGGGATATCATCCGTTCACTTGTTGAACTCCGACTGGAATCCTGCAGACGTTTCGCCAAAATCTCACTTGGAATCTTCAATGCTCGCGCTCCGAAAACACTTCGAGTAGCAAATGCTCCGGAAGCAATTTCATTCGCGATATGGAAAACGTATATTTTTTTTAGTTCACGAAATTGAGGCTATTTTGAGTCCTTGGCGGGAATATTTTCTCACATTAATGGCAACGTCGCAATGTATTATTTTATGGCTTATTTTGAACTTTTAGAGTCTTTATCGTAGTATAAACAAGGATGACTTCACTTTGCTTTGTCATGTTATTTTAACATTCTATAACCTGGTTTTCATTTACAGAATATTACGGTTTTGCAGAATATTCGAGCGCAAAATTCAGAGGAATCTCAACCAGACTCTGTAAGTATTATCGCTATTGGTTGCGTATATTTTGTGGATTAAAAACTGTTTCAGGACGAAACCACGGATACAAAAATAAACGCAATTAAAGCGTTGAGAAATACAAAAGAAAATAAAAAATACCGATGTTCAAAATTTTCCTCGACATATCGAAAGGAATCACCCGTATGAATTAGAAGTATTGCAAATTTGTTCCAAACCTAAAAAGAGTGAAGAAAGCAGGAAACTTTTAGCCCTATTAAAAAAGAAGGGCAATTTTATTAAAAAGCTTGTGTCAAACCGATGAAAGAAGCACGGGAGCCAGAGAACTCATTTTTGTCATGCACAAACTGCTTGGGATTTTACAGATCGAAATTTTTATATCGACACACAAAGAAATGCACAGGGGCTAGTTCATCAAGAAATGCTCAAGTTGCAAGTCAAAACTTTTTGATAAAAAATTTGACCCGAATTGACCAACAATTAAAAGATCAGGATTTTCCTAGAATGAGACCTGATCAGATTTCTTTAGGGGCAAAGAATGACTTTTTAATATGTGCCTTTCGAGCTCGTTACCTTAAGACACATCGCGAAAAAAATTGTATTAATGTTACAAGTAGAAAAATGCGAGAGTTGTCAAGAATTTTCTTCGAGCTTAAAAAAATGGATCCAAACCTAGCAAATCTATTTGAAGCATTGCAGCCAAAGCACTACGATAAACTGGTGGAAGCTACAAAATCTGTGGCAAGATTTGATAGCATTAAGGAAGTGTTTGTAGCGCCCACATATGCTATGAATATTTCCACATCTCTGAGACAGTGTTGCGATATTGCAACTTATATGACCATAAAAAGTGAACCATCAGTTGAAACGACAAATATTGAATCTCGATTAAAAACAATGGTAAATTTATTTTCATCTAACTGGCGATTTGATATATCGATTCGATACATCGAGACAGTGTATTGTAGAATTATTTTAGTGAATAGAAGGAGACCAGGAGAATTACAGCGGTTATTAAAGGATACTTACGTTGCTTCAGAAGAGTCATCAAACTCTTACGAAGAATTTAGTGAAGTTATCTGGAATGCAGAAAAAATTTTGTTACAACCCTTTAAAAGAATAGTGATTAGAGGAAAGAGGGGTAGAGTGCCAGTCATATTCAGTCACGATGTGCAGGTACATATTGATCAACTTCTACAGGCGAGATCAAATTTCGTCAATGACAACAACCCCTACCTTTTTGCAAACCCAAACACGAATACTCCAATATGTGGCTACAAAGTTGTTGCAAAATATGCTAAAGGTTATGGCGCTAAGAATCCTGAGGCTATAACATGCTCAAGGTTGCGAATAATACATCTTGCAACGCTAACACAATTATTCAATCTATTCGAAAATGAAATTGAACAACTGTCAAATTTCATGGGCCATACATCGAACGTGCACAGAGGATCAAATAGATTGCCAAACGATGTCTATCAGACAGCATAGATATCCAAGCTTCTTCTTTTAATGGAACAAGGAGAGGCAGTTGTTCATAAGGGGAAAAGCTTGGACGAAATTACAATTGATTTAGAAGAAAATCTTTTAAATGAAGAAACTAGTGAAGATGAAGATCTAGAAACTTCGACGAAAACAAGTAGGAAAACGGAAAAAGAAACAAAGGATATGGATCAAATCAAACAATTAATCCAGGATGTAAAAAAACTGAAGGAAAAAGCATTAGTTTAGAACCAGTCTTAGAAGTAAAGGACAAAAAGCGAAAAAGGATTTTGATTCCATGGACAGAAGAACAAAAAAAATGTAGTTTGTTGGAATATTTATATTATTACGTCATATCCGACAAGACCCCGTAACAAAGAGGCGCCGCCTTGTTTTTTTTGCCGATCGTAAAATATATCGGCGTCTCAGGCAAAAAGGACAGGGAGGGCAAGTTGCGGTGAGGAGATAATTAGGGTATTATTATGCGATGTTTTTTGGGTTTACGATAAGTTAGTTAAGACGTAGTTGTCGAACCGAGAGGATTAAACTCGATTCTGCTTCATTACGTTGTTTTATTTTGATTATCCTTACAAGTTACATTCTATTTTTCAAAACAAATAAAAAATAAGAAGGCACCCAAAAGATGTCAATGCGAAGAATTGAAGGACATCAATGAGGTCTATAAGTAGATACCATTGATTTTTCAGTTGGTATTTCAGACCAAAATGGGATTTGGAGGTAATATCCCAAAAGTTTTCAAAATTTTGCCTAAAGTGGTTTCTGATAATAAGAAATCTGAAACCGAAACTACTTTTTCAAAATATCGACATTTTCTGATGATTTATGTTTTTATTTATTCTGTTCTTCCAAATATCTCCCGCACCCTGTATAGTAAACGAAAGCTGTAAATACGAAAATTGTAGCTCTCGGCACGGTAAACCGAGAAATGCCGGAAAGATATTTCTTAAAACGTTACTAAACCCCAAAACTATGTTTATTATAAATGACGCCCTTCTACTAATCGATATTCTGACAGAGCGAGGGGCGAGAAATGCGGTTTTTTAAGAAAACATCTGGCTCACAAGTGGTTGCTTATTGCGTCGTACGTAAAAAAATTTTATATGGTATATAATATATAGGTTAAAACTGGGATAGATGCCCCACTTTTTGTAAGCTGACTATAACTTTTTTTAAAGCACTATTCGAGTGAGTTAACTATTTGTAACAACTATAGTCCTTATACTTACTATCTACTCATATCATCATTCAATGCATACCGTAGATTTGTAGATATTCGGCTCCAAAAAAACTCATTGTTTGAGGATAGACGCCTACTGTATGGGGTAGTTGCCCCTGGCAAAATTTCGACATGAGTATAGATGCCCTACAATGGGATAGATGCCTCCGTAATAAAGAAAAAAATTCGTAGAAAATTAAATAAAATGTTTATTTGCTTTCTTAGTTGCAATAATATATTATAAAGTTTTCTTATCCAAATATACCGTAAAACTAAAGGAAATGGCACTTTTATAGGAACAAATGGCTCAGTCTTTCAATCATACTTTGGGTAAACTTAGCAACTTAACAACGTCTATTAAAAATTATTTAAAACTTTACCGAACTAAATTTAGGAACAATAAAACCTAAAACAAATCCGTCCCTTAGGACTTCTTTGGAAAAAAACAATACATACAAATAATCAACAAATATAGAGATACCGTTTACTTTGGCCAGGTTACTTATTCTTTGAATTCACTTTGGCCAGGTTAGCTTTTAGAGCTGCAAGCTTCTTGAGTCCACATCTATTACAGTAATCGCCATATAGAGTGCAATCTTCGTGTAACCAGAGTTTACACATCAGGCACTGAATCCAGTCCGCCGTGGACTTGGTACTTGCATAGTCATCGAAACATTCCCTTCATTGAGTATTTTCTTTATCAGATTTAGTCTGGTCTGGTTCATCGAACTCTTTTTCACTTTCAGAGCTAAACCTCGGTCTTTTCTTTTTAGGAACTGATTTTTGGTTGTTTTTTCTAGGTTTGTCTGGTGTTTGCTTCTTAGCTCTATCTTTCAACTTAGCTTTCTTAGAGTTAATATGTTCTTCTGAATTTAAAACGGCAGCACATTGCTTGCCTCTTTTGTATAATGAAACAGGAATTTTCGTGATAGGTGAACATTCATTAAGATATTTACTTGGAGTTATGACTTCTACAGTTTCAGGCTCCCTATTGATAGTTGCCGACGATCTACCAGGCTGGGGCTCAACATAATATGAATTCACATCGGCGTTCGCGTCGAGTTCCTTTGCGACTGGGGTTGGTCTTGAGCAAGGTTTCCTTCATCTAGATTTTGAATTTTTACGACCGGTGAACATTCTTTAAGATAATATTCACCTGGAGTTATGACTTCTATAGTTTCAACATTATGATTCTAAGATAGGATGGACGGACTGACATTTCCTTCTAAGGGAATAACAATTGCGTCCGCTGCAAGATCTTCATATAGTAAGAACCCGAAATCAAGCTCCCGCTCACTATTGACAGTTGATGACGATGGACCAGGCTGGGGCTCAACATAATATGAAGTCACATCAGCATTAGCGTCGAGTTCCCTTGCTACTGGTTGGTCTTGACCAAGGTTTCCTTCATCTAGATTTTGAAAGCTGTTATCAGAGATAGCAAAGTAGCTGTCGGGATTGTACGGGAAAATACCACATGCACCAAACCCATTCACAGCTTTAGAAGAGGTAGCAGCGCGAGCCCATGTGTTACCTATTAATTTTCCAGCAATGTATCGATTTATTTTTCGATCATTGTGACTCAACATACAGTTTTTAGTTTCCGAAGCGAAGTAAGTTTTGAAAGGTTTAAAAAAACTCCGGTCAAGCGGTTGTAAAGCCTGTGTAGTGTGGCTTGGCAAACAGAACAATATTATGTCATTTTCTCGTGCTAATTCTAGTAAATCAATAGCAGTAGTGTGAGATAAATGCCCGTCAAGTATAAGCAAAACCTTGCCCTGTGGTTTTATTAGCACGAACTGTTCTTTCAGCCACTTTTGAAAGAGTTCTGTGTTGACGTAGGCAGATTTTTTATTCATGTACATGTTGGCTCCGGGCGGAAGACCCTCTTGGAACTCTGGTCTTTTATTGACCCCCTTGACAATGACCACCAGAGGAACATAGTTGCCAACAGCTTTACAGCAAGCTATAATTGACATTGTATCACCTTTTTCGCTAGAAGTGATGGAATTTACTACTTTGGCAATAACTTTACCAGGATTATTGTTCATTTGAACTCCAGTTTCGTCAGTATTATAAATTCGATCGGTTTATCGATCAAATCATTTTCAGTTAGTACTTTCAGCAACAATTCAAACATTTTGTTTACTTCATCTCGATTTAATCCTTGAGCCCTTGCAATAGACAAACCTTCTGCCTGGCGAATACTGAGTTCTGGGTGTCGTTCAAGAAATGATTTGAGCCAGTGCTGAGCACCCATACGTGTCTCTTTGTTAAAAGAATTTTCCAAACCCACTTTCTCGGCAAATTCAAAAGCGAGTCTTCTTACATCCTGTCGTGTTGTGGGAAATCCTGCCTTTTCTAAATTTTGTATGTGCGCTACGAGACGTTTCTCGTTGTCAAAGTCCAGTGTGGGATGTTCTCCTGAAAAAGAAGAAATTAATAGGTACAGAAAAAAACTGAGGATTCAAAAAGGACAAGTATAAAAAAACAAACTAAGAAGACGGTGCTAAATTGAATTTGATTAGGGAAATTTATTCCTCTATTACTTACCCAAAGTAAGATTTTCATCGCCTCCTCAAAATTCGAGATGGAATACCATAACAACGAGATATTTCATTTACACCGACTTGGCCTTTATCCATTTCCCCAAAAACTTTGCAAAGGGCTACTTAGACCAAGCAGCACGAACGGGTGCCCCTATTTTCCCTTTATATTTTCGCGGCATTTTGTCTAAAATAAAAAATGAAATTAGGTGATACGCTGCATTATTACATTACATTACAGTTGAGTACGACATGTAAAGGTATAAACAGCTCATAAAAAAACTGGAAAGTCAATTTTCCTACTAAGTTGCATATTAACTAGATAGGTTATTTAAAAAAATCTTACCTATAGCCTAAGTACCTGTGAATAAGTCATAGAGGATATATGCCTCTAAGGGCGTCTATACTCAGTCAATAGTGGGGCCTCTATCCTTTTTAGTAGGGATAGACGCCCCAGCAAATAAATAAAAATACTTAAATAATTTCGTAATGTTATAAACACACCATAAATATAAATGATACATACTATTTAAATAACAATACACACCTAAAACTTACCTTCGAAAACGAAAGTTCTGAACACGTCAAAATGTCACTGTCACAAGAATCATGCAAGCGCGGTAAAATTTTGCAACGTTTTTTTAACTCAATCGGCGACACGTGCAGTCCTGTCGAAACGCGTGCGCAGACTGTGCTGTGCGGGGCGAGGTTTGTCCGATGAACTTGGTACTAAAGCGTGAACTTGGTTTTAAATTCTCTTTTTTTAAGGTGCGGCGTCTATCCTCCAAGGGCGTCCATCTCACTTTTACCCTAATAAGCAAAATAATCCGAAAAAATGAGACGGGATTCCATATATCTTATACACCGAAAATATACAAATCAGCAAGTCTCATATTAACAAATCCGCAACATAAATCTTCAAAAAAGAGATAAAAAAACACAAAAACGGGACAAGATCTAATTTCAGATAGTGATAACACAACTGTGCCTGTTGTATAAACTGTTACAACATTTGAAATAAGTCAGTATAGCAAGAGAGCCAGATCTAATATTATATCTAATAGATCCCTATCAGTTTAATTTTGTTTTCTTTAGGCTTATGTTATGTCTGATGTGGATTTCTTGTTGTAGAAATTTAAATTTGTGATAAACAATAAATAATATGATTTAACTTCCCAACTTCGTATTTAACATTAATTCTTCCCAGGTGAGCGGGGGAGCAATAATGGTTACTCCAAAGTCGACATATCGTTGCAACTTCTTTTCTGTTCAAATCCAGTCCATGGAACCAGGGTTTGAATGACGGATCACGGAATGAGAACTATAATTAACACGTCTTAACAATCCAATTGATTTTCACCTTTCCCTCTAAGCATTCCAAACGTTATGTTTTAGTTTGGGGAAGAATTCTTTAAAACTCACCTTATGTTCAAAGGTGGTTCTAATCTAACGGTATTAGAGATCTGGTCAACTATTACATTAGGTTTTATATTGGTGTGACTCGGTATCCAGCACAATTGGATGTCCCTATTTTGAATTTTTAATAAAATTGATAATTTATTATACTTCGTCTCGTTTCGCCAATTAGAACAAACGTAGTTGCCCCGTAACACACCGTACACCACGAATTTTTTAAGCCAAAAACCATCTACCGAACCCACCCGAACCCGCGTTTGATGTGTGTATATTTTTCCCTATTTTCCGTTTCTGTTTATTGTTTAATTATTAGTTTACTTGCTTTTATTATTAGTTTAGTCAGTGTGGTGTATGAAATAATGTCGTCTGGACAAAAAAGGCGTTACAGTTCAAAAACGGAAAAGAAGGAATTTCTTAAATGGAAAATTTCCAAGTTAAAACAGCGGTTGGCCGAAAGAAGTCGTAGTCGGTAGAGAGACAGAAGAACAATCTCTCCGTCCTTGTCTCAGTTGTCGAGGGAGAGGGCGGTCGACCAGCTTGGGTCTAGCCGGGAGGAAGAAGATACTTCACGAGAATCGGAATATTGGGAATATTCGGATCACGAGAACTTTCCTTTATCTCTTTTTGCGGGCAATAATATAGGCCGGACAGTTGAACATACATTATTTTAATAGTCGGCTAAATATGATGCTCTATTTAGTAGCTTCAAAGATGATATGTATCATCTTCTGTAGTTTGTAAAACGGACGTTTCGATTCCAAAACATATGATTATTTTTTGGTAATTGTACATAGACTATCATTTTAATAGTGGCCTAAATATGATGGTATAATTCGCAGCTTTAAAGATATCTTCTTTGGTAACTAGTAAAACGTACATTCGTTCGTGGAATAGATAAATATATATACATATATTTTTTTAATAGTAAATATGATGGCATATTTAGCAGCTTCAAAGATGATGTATATCATTTTACACTACGTTACGGAACTATTATGACATACTTCAGCTTCAGAACCATCAGTCAAATATTTTGATTTTAAATATTTGAACGAAATATTTTGAACGACTTAAAAAAAATAATGTCGGAGGACAAAATAATAATTCCTTTCTTATAGACAAAGAAGTCTCGTCCCTTGACTCGAGTCTTTTTGGTCCGGTTGGAAGACGAACAACCTGGCGGCAGCTGTCAGGGAGCTGGAGACTTGCAGAGATCAAAAGTGAGCTGGTCAGCAAAGTTAGATTGGGTCAGCACTGGCTTCGTTGGGTCAATTAAAGTAGCGTATATTCCTAACTCCCGCATCTCCCGTCCCCCGGGGGAGGTTTTGAGATGTCGCACCTTTAATAGCTCAGGTTTTGCAAATGGCAAACGATTGCTTTCAATAATTATAATAGCACCTACCTCAACGATAAGGATTACAATTTTGGGACATACCTCCAAAAGATATTGACTCTACTGTACCTAAGTCAAAGCATATATTCGCAAGTAATAACGGACAAAACAACAAAACTCTTAAATCGACTGTGACTGGGAACTTGTACTAAATGCTAGCGTTCGATTCGCTAGCAGGGACAAATACATGGATTTTCAACTAGAAGAATTTTTGGATTTTCTAAATTTAGATCTTGTGTTGCCTCGGCTACCCAATCGGAAGTAAACAACAACTGATGTCGTGCTTTCTATTTTCCTTTTAAAACTGAATTACACGCTTACACATTTGGTAATTTTACAAGAAAAATTAACAAAATAATACTTGCAAAATTGGCGCGTAGCGTATCCCGCTACCGTCTTCACACCACCATCTCAGTTACCCCTTTCGCCGTCCTCACTCGTCTTCTTCTTCTTAACTTCTGACAATGCACTTTACCATAAACACAACTGGGACAAGGTATTGGGCGCACCACATTACCCCCCTATTAAATTATACTTTGAAACGTAATGACCTAAACAGTATAACTTAAAACTATTAACATACGTGCAGAATGGGTAATTTAATACTCTTTCAAATAACATCCCAATACCGGAAAATAAATTTAACTAATACAATACAATCATTTTTCAGAACAGCACAAATAGTAGCACAAAATGTAGCTATTTCAAAGAACGATAAGGTTTAAGGTTAATAACGTTTTGTATATTAATGAAGTCGCCATTTTCGTTTCCTATATTATAAGATTTAGGGCCTGCAGAACTCAAAATATAATATGGTCCTTCAAACAGCAAAAAGAACTTACGAATTTCCGAATTTTCCGCAGAAGATAATGGATGCTGTTTGACCAACACCCCGTCACCAACATTAAACTGTATCGGGACAACAGAGTTATCATGCTTCAATTTACGTTTTTCACTCTTCGTTAACATTTTTAAATGGGCTAAATGCCAAATTTGCTCTAAATTCGTTTCTTCAACATTTCCAACGCGTGGATACTTGATTAATTTATGAATGTTATTTTCATTGTCCTTGCCAAAATGCAGAAGGTTTGGAGTAAAACCCGCACTAAAATGTATAGTATTGTTAATACAATTTTCAATAGTATCCTCTTTGTATGTTGATTAAAATAAAACGCTCTAAAGAGCCTTCCAATTTCCCTGTTCACTCTTTCGATTAAGTTGCCTTGTGGAAAATAGACAGAAGCATGGTTAATTTGAACTCCCTTTCCCTTCATATAATTTACCCACTTTTTAGAATGGAATTGAGTAGCATTATCACTCAAGATTCGTTCAGGAATTCTCATTTGCTTAAAATAGTCCTTTTCCAACTGATTAATTATAGCTGGTGCTATGGCATGCTTTAATGCATAAAGTTTGACATATCGCGAAAATGCGTCCACTACTACAAGCAATTGCGTTACTGCTCCACGAGAAGTAGGTAATTGACCCATTAAATCTAAACAAGTTAACCTTCCGGGACGATCCAACACTACAGAATTAAATGTTCCCACACTCTTTTAAGATACCTTTGATTTCTGACACAAATCACAAGTTAAAACGATTTTGCCCACAGATTTCGATATTTTAGGCGAGTAAAATTCATGCTTCATATGGTCATAAGTATTCTTGTAACCCACATGCCCCAAATCACTATGTTGTTGTTTAACTAAATACAAAACTTGATTTTCCGGAACACAGAGTTTATAACCAGGTGACTCTACAGTACCTTTTCGAATTAATATACCTTCATGCAGTTTGTACCACATTATTACCCTTTTTTCTTTGACATTTATATTACTCAAGTCAGGCTTTTCCAAAATTTTATTTAACATTTCTATTTTTTCGAAAATCCAATTTTGATTTTGTTGGTCACGCTTAAGAGTTTTAATATGTTCTTTTAACAATTTATATTCACAACTTAATTTTAGCATCGAAATATCAACCTTACTATAACTAACTAAATAGAGTTCGCACGGGCCACGGGCGCTGCGGTGATTCACTTTTCAAATGGGGAATAAAGCAGCCTCCTCAATGTGACTGCCAAGATGGTATTCAGACGATCCGCCATATCTCGACCGAGTGTCCCAATCGCGCATACCCCGGCCCCCTCTCAGACTTTGTTGGACTCCCTAAAGAGGCTATCCAATGGCTGAATGGACTGGATAACGCTCTC